GTGTTGTGTCCACTGAGAACAAAAAATAAATATTTAAAAAAAAAATTCTCTCTCTCTCCTCTCTCACTCTCTCTTTAAAAAAAAAAAATCTAAAAAAAATTAAATAAATAAATAAATAAATAAATAAATACTGGGGATTGAATGGAGGGGCACTTTGCCACTGAGCTGCACCCCTAGCACACCACTCCCCTTTTTTGGTACTGGGAATTAAATCCAGGGGTGCTTAAACCCTGAGCCATATCCTCAGTCTTTTGTATTTTGAGAGAGTCTTGCTAGTTGCTTAGGGCCTCACTAAATTGCTGAGGCTGGCTTCAAACTTACAATCCTCCTGCCTCAGCCTCCTACGTAGCTGAGATTACAGGTATACACCACTGCATCCAGCTAGAACTTGTAATCCTTTTGCCTCATCCTCCCGAATCACTGGGATTATAGAGGTGAGCCACTGTGTCTGGCTGAAAACAAATATTTAAAAAATAGAGTGATGATATAATTATGCCATATAGACTTTCAAAAGCTTCCCTGTATAATCATAAGAAAATAAGAGTAAAAAAGAAAAGTAACATGTTTGCATTATAAAAATAGTCTTAAATGTACAGAACACCCTGGAAAGGTCTTGGGAGTTCCCAAGCCATGCTTTGAGAACTACTGGACTAGAATATGAACTTAAGGTCAAAATACTTTGGTTTGAATCTGATCCTCCTGTATATTTAACCTGTGTACCTAGTGCTGCCTTCTAAAATGAACTAAAATTATACTCATATTTCAGAGAGTTAGTGCAATGATTAAATAAAGCATTTATCAAAGTGATTAACAGCATCTAATACTAAACATTAAGTATTATATAACTACCTCATTCTTTTTTTTCAATATATATATTTTTAGTTGTAGTTAGACACAATACGTTTATTTTATTTTTACTTGGTGCTGAGGATTGAACCCAGGGCCTCGAAAGTGCTATGTGAGTGTTCTACCACTCAGCCACAATCCTAGCCTCTACCTCATTCTTTCAAAAAGCATTAGTCAACTGGGTGAGGTGGCACATGCCTGTAATCCCAGCAACTCAGGAGGCTGAGGCAGGAGGATTGAAAATTCAAAGCCAGGCTTAGCAACTTGGCGAGGCACTTAGCTACTCAGTGAGACCTTGTCTCTAAATAAAATACAAAAAATGGGCTGGGGATGTGGCCCAGTGGTTAAGCACCCCTGGGTTCAATCCCAGGTACAGAAAAAAAGCATTAATCCATCTTTTTGTATAGTATGGATGCATATACATTCGTAATCACAAGCATTTATTATTTTTTTAAAACACTGTTTTGTTTTGTTTTTTAATTTACATTTTAGTTTTTGGCAGACACAACATCTTTGTTTGTATGTGGTGCTGAGGATCGAACTCGGGCTGCATCCATGCCAGGGGAGCGCGCCACCACCTGAGCCACATCCCCAGCTCATAATCACGAGCATTTAAAATGCCTCTAATCTTTGGCTACTATATAATTCACTTAGGTATGCAGAGGCCCACAATTTTGTTGAGGGATGCATAGTAAATCAGTAACAGGCTGGACTATAACACAGCATCTTCCCTTCCTTTAGCCCCTGGCAACTACTTATCTACTTTCCGTACCTATAGATTTGCTTATTCCAAATTATTGATTGATTGATTGATTACTAGGGATTGAACTCAGGACTCCAAATTTCTTATTTATTTATTTATTTGTTTGTTTGTTTGTTTGTTACTGGGGATTGAACCCAAGGTCTTCTACCACTGAGCTTCATCCCCCACCGTTTTTATTTTATTTTGAGATAGGGCCCTGCTAAATTGGCCTCAAACTTGCAATCTTCCTGCTTCAGCCTCCCAAATTGCTAGAATTATACGCCTGTGACACCACACCCAGCTATGGCTTTGATCGATAACATTCTTTGAAATATTAATTTTTAAATTAGCATCCTTTGAAGCTTTAGTTCCGCCCCCCCCCCATGTCTGATAATTGAACCCCAGGGCCTCATACATGCTAGGCAAGTACTCTATTCCAAAGCCACATCCCCAGGCCCAAAAGTTTTAAAATTTTGATGAAATCTAATTTATCTATTTTTTTTTCTTTTGTCACTTAGGTTTGGTTGTTGTATTTAAAAACCACTCCCTAATCCAATGACATAAAGACTTACATTTATATTTTCTTCTAAGAGTTGTATAGTTTCAGCTTTTATATTTAGGTCTTAAGGTCTTTGAGTTAATTTAAGTATATGGTTCAAGGTAGGAATCCAAATTCATTCTTTTGCAAGTGGATATCCAGGTGCTCCAACGATATTGTTGAATACTACTCTTTTCTCCATGAGAAGGTCTTAGCACTCTTGTCAAAAATGAATGGTCCAAGGGGCTGGAGCTGTGGCTCAGCAGTAGCACACTTGCCTGGCATGTGTGAGGCACTGGGTTTGAGTCTCAGCACCGCATATAAATAAATAAAATAAAGGTCTATCAACAACTAAAAGAAATATTTTTAAAAAAAATTCAGTGGGCTGGGGCTGGGGCTCAGCTGTAGTGTACTTGCCTGGCATGTGTGAGGCACAGGATTCAATTCTCAGCACCACATTTAAATAAATAAAATAAAGGTCTATCAACAACTTTAAAAAAAATCAATGGTCCATCTAGGTACAGTGGTGCATGCCTGTAATGCCAATGGCTCAGGAGGTTGAGGCAGGAGGATCTAGAGTTCAAAGCCAGTTGCTGAGGCACTAAGCAACTCAGTGAAACCTTAAATAAAATACAAAAAGGGCTGGAGATGTGACTCAGTGGTTGAGTACCGTCTCACCCCCCCACCCCCACCAAATCAATATGAAAGTTTATTTCTGGACTCTCAATTCTATTCCACTGATGTATATGTCTCTCTTTATATCAGTCTGCATGGTCTTATTATTGTAGCTTTGTGCTAAGATTTGAATCAGGAAGCATATGTCCTTCAATTTTGTTCCACTTTTTCAAAATAATTTTGTCTGTTCTGGGTCCCTTGCATTTCCTTATGAATTTTAGAATCAGCTTGTCAATTTTCTCAATAAAATACAGATAGAGCTGGATGTGGTGGCACCCCTGTAATCTCAGCTTTTCAGGAGGCAGAGGCAGAAGGATTGCAAATTCAAGGCTAGCCTGGGCAATTTAGTGAGACTCCACCTCAAAAAAAAATATTTTAAAAGGGACTGGGGATGTAGCACAGTGGTAGAATTCTTGCTTAGTAAATGTGTGAGTCCCTGGGTTCAAACCCCAATACTACCAAAAACAAAAATAAAAAAAGACAGCTGGGGCTGGAGTTGTAGCGTTGCTTCACATGTGTGAGGCACTGGGTTTGATTCTCAGCACTGTGTATAAATAAGCAAATAAAATAAAGGTCCATCAACAACTCAAACATATTTAAAAAGAAGGACAGCTAGGATTTTGGTAGGAATTGTACTGAATCTGTAAATCAATTTGAGGAATATTATCATATTATCAAAATTTTATTTTGGTATAGGGAATTAAACCCAGGGCACTTAACCAACTGAACCACATTTCCAGCCCTTTTTAATTGTTTGTTTGTTTGTTCTTTTATTTATTTCTTGAAACAGAGTCTCACTAAGGGCATAGGACCTTGCTAAGTTGCTGAGGCTGGCTGACTTTGACTTGAGATCCTCCTGCGTCAGTCTACAGATCTGCTAGGATTATAGATGTGAGCCATGGCGCTTATCTTCATATTACCAATGCTAAGCCTTCTAATTTCTGAAAATATATCTTCTACTTTATTCAGGTCTTCTTTAATTTCTTTAATGAAGTCTTATAGTTCATAATGTACAAGTCTTATATATCTATTTATTTATTTATTTTATTTAAAGTTTTTAGTACAGGGGATGAACCCAGGGTACTCCACCACTGAGCTATATCCCAGCCCTTTTTTAAATTTCAAGACAGGGTCTTGCTAAGTTGTGTAGGGCCACACTACATTGCTGAAGCTGACCTCAAACCTTTGATCCTCCTGCTTTAGCCTTCTAAGTTGCTGGAATCGGAGGTGTGCACCACCACTCCTGGCCAGCATTTTGGTTTTTTTTAATGCATTTATAAATGAAATTATTTTAACTTAATTTTTAAATTATTTATTGCCAGTATATAAAAAACAATTAATTTTGCATATTGATCTTATATCTTAACACCTTTGCTTAACTTATTAGTTCTAATAGTATTTTTGTGTGTATGCAATTCCTTAGGATTCCTATACACAAGATATTGTTATCTACAGACATAATTTTACTGTTCATTCCAATTTGGTTGGCTTTTATTTCTTTTTCTTGCTTAAATGCCCTGGCCTGTACCTCTAAAAAAAAGCTGAATAGAAGTGGTAAGGGGTAGATCTTACCTGTCTTTTTTCTTTTTTTTTTTTTTTTTTTAAAGAGAGAGTGAGA